TGCAGAAAGATTGAATGACGCATTATCTTGGTATTACGACTGTGTGGGGTATGCAGGTGTTTGAAAACACTGACTAGTCTACTTCCATGATTTGGTATTAAGAGGCCATCTACTAATACAAACCCAAAGTATTTCGACCGGAAGCTAAAAACTAATCCCTTTAAGAGTCTGGTATTTTGTAGCAGATATTTTTTTATTCACACAAATATGATGATCAAAATCGAACCTCTGACTACATACTCAAATAATAAAGTTATCTAACAACCATCTCACTTTGTATGACAGTAAATCTTGTAACTTTGACTCTAGAGAACAAAAACTATTAAAGTTATGGATACGTACTTGTTAGTTGCTGGAGCATTCCAAGCTGTGGTGAATCCCATAATGACTAAAACAAGACCATGCACGAAGGCAGTGGATGAATCATCAGGCAACCCCAACAGCAAAATTGCTGCTAAAGGAATAGCTGAACCAGCGCTAATTTGTGACAATATTATTCTCCCAGAGTTGGGTAACCTTTGTGATAAAAAATCTCCCATCCACCCTCCAAAAAGAGACCCAAATGAAGCAGCAACTATAAATAGGGTCCAAAGAGTTGCTGTTGTGACGTGGGAGAAGCCTATTAGTTCCAACCAAAGCGTGGCAAATGACAAGCCTGACCAGGGGAATGATCCAAACACTCCCTGAGCCACAATTATCTGAAACGTTGGGATTCCAATAACTGACTTTGCTTCTTTCAGTAATTCTTTCATTTCAGAATAAAAGGACTTGTTTGGAGCTTGAGATGTTGGTTTCTTTGAATAGTGTGGATCATTAGCGAAGAGGCGTACCAATAGACCCACTATAACACTGATCAATGCAACAAGATGGAAAGCTATTCTCCAACCAGGTATACCTGCAACCGAGGTTGAGGCTATAAGTACAGAGAAGAGACCACCGACGATGCTTCCAAGGTTTCCTGTTAGTTGCAGCCAACCAAAAGCCACACCACGGTTGTTATCAACAGTTGAGTCAGCAACCAGGGACTGAATTGCTGGAATAACAATGGCGAGTCCTATCCCATTTAAACCTCTTGAAATTGCTACCTGATAATCCATATTATGCAACACGAAGGACGGAAGGAGTAAGGAAACATGTACATTGATTCAGGGAAAACATGGGCCATGAAAACACGTAGGAGTAATAATTCATACAAAATTGTAATTTTTAATTTTAAGCAAATGATCTTTATGTTATATTTGATAAGTGTTTAACTAGTCCGATGAAATCTGAATTTTAGACACTTATCTAGCACAATTTTTGTACATATTGATATAATTTTGGTTAATATATGCTTAGAATTAAAGAGGGACTTTTAATTTATGTTGTTACATGGAGTGATGACTTTTCTGACCAGATTTTGTATTCATTTTATAGGTTTTGAAGTCTGGAGGCAAACGTGACAGGTCCTCTGCCTTTTTATAAGTGCTAGAATTAAAATAGAGTAGGCAGGAAAGAGAAGAATCTGTTCAACGCCTTAAAACGACTGAACGGTTTGAAGAATTCTTCAACATGAAATAATCTCAAGTATCTCCCTAAAGCATTAACAGAAAAAGCAATATCAGGACGAGTACAAACTTAAGCATACATCAAACTACCAATAGCGGATGCATATGAGAACTTTTCCATTTCAACTCTATCATTATCATTTTGAGGACATTGAGATTTAGAGAGTTTGTCACCTTTTTTTTTTTGAATAGGTGCAGCACGTGAGGAAAAAATTGCATGTTAAACTATTTGAGGACTTTATCAGTATACCCTCTTTGAGACAATCCAAGAATGCCACGTGACCTATCATGGAAAATCTAAATGCCTATAACAATAGAGGTATCACCAAGGTCCTTCATATAAAAGTGGCTATTTAACATAAATTTTGTCTCAGTCAAAAGTTTAACACTACTACTAGCAAGAAGAATATCATCAACATAAAAGACAAGAATGATGAAATGACTCCCACTAGTCTTCAATTAAATGCACTAATATGAGGCATTTTCCTTGAAGTCAAAAAGAAGTGAACACCTGATCAAACTTCAAATGCCATCATAATTGGTCTTCTCAATAAGAGACAAATATTGACCCTTTTGAGCTTTGTCAAAGGTCTTAAATTTCTCACCCAACTGACCTGGAAAAAAAATCCTTAGCCTTATCAATTTTTTTTTAATGCTCTATCGAATAGACTTCTCCATGGTGTATTTCATCACCATCAGACACACCTATTTGAGTGTTCCCATTTCTCATGAGAAGTTCTCTAGACAATAGTGGACTTAAGAGTAAAAGTTGGAGGCTCTTTCTCTCTTTAAAAAAAGTTCATATTAGTAATTGTCAGATATAAGTCCAGAGATTCATTCTGGTTCTCAAAATTTGCCCCATTCAATATTTTGACCGAAGTCAATTGCATAAGCAAAGAAGCTGGTATCCAAACAACAAAGAAACATTTAATATACATAATTATTATGCAATAAAAAATTAAATATTTCTAAATACACAGTCAAACATGCCTATAATATAAAAAATTCTCATTCATTATGATCTCGCCTAAGGGTCCCGAACCATAATAAATAAGAAATACAAAATACAATGCACAACTTATACAAAAAAAAAAAATCTAATACCAATAGGGTACTTGACAAATAATTGACATAAGATAAAATTAAGAAAAAAAATTGTATCATAATACCAAAATACATTAACAACAAAATATCGATAGGGCATAATTATTATTAATGTAATATAAAATTAATTAGAGAAATAATTAAATTATTTCATTCACACAAATTTCATATAATTGTATCCACGATAGGTGAGCTCACAATCATATAAAATTCTATTAATCATGCTTAACAAAATATAATAAAATTATATTATGCATGAACATCATATGAAATAAGTACAAAACAAACAACTATTAATACAAATAAGGGTCATTTTTTTTAACTCAAGTATATATATACTACCAAGGAGAGTATAACATACTAACATTCACTAAGATAACAAAAACATATATAAAAAAAATTTCAGACCCAAATTCCAAGAGTACAATATTTAAAATTAAGTTCAAATTAAGTTTTATTATTCTTGGAATAATTAAAAAAAATAGTTATAGGTAAAAAATATACCCAATAATCAGAAAATTAATTATTTAAATTTAAAATATAAATATAAATTTTTTGATCAAAATAGGGGTCTCAATTGCCTAGCTCTACGAGTGGATAGGCACCCGCGTTATTGTTCATCTTCTCCCTCACTCGGAAAATAGAAAATGGGTCGTTCGACCCATAACAAAAATTTGGTGCAAAACCACCATTACAGGCAACGACAAACTACGATTTTCTGACCAAATGATTGTCCCTTCACGGCAATCCAAAACCCCCTATCAATTTTGGGAATAATCAATTCAAAGAAAACAATTTCAAATCTAAGAAATTGGGGTTTTGAAGATATCCGCGACAAAAAGAGACGAAAAAATTGTCAGATTTTTTTTTAATCAATTCTTTCTCAAAATGTGCAAATTTATTCAACATCCAGAGGTAAATAAAAGTCCTCAATCAATTGCAATGAATAATCATCCAAAAATGAGGAAAAATGAATCTAAATTGCTCACTGAATAGAACAAGCTCAGAAAAAAAAAAATTTGCACAAGGTTTGAAATACATGTAGAAAGAAAACCCCTTTGACAATTTGTTCAATTGATGAATATAATTTGAGTTGTCATTTTTCGAACGAAGAAGAAATTTTTTTTTCTATTATTCGAAATCAAAATTGAACCTGAAAAATGACATTTGCAATACCTATACAGTATTTACACATTAGGATAAATATCCTACAATAAAAATTTCTAACTTTTATATACAATTTGTGAATAATTCATACTAGGATACTGATTCTATAACCTAGAACAACCATAATTTGTATCTTAATGGCTCTGATACCAATCGAAAGAAGTTCATAGTGATAACTTAAATAATGAACAATATAAGATACAATATTATAGTATGTCTGCGTAAGGTTTAGAAATAATTGCGTACCCGGAATCAATAAAAAATTCATTCTTGTTGATCTTGAACGTGAGAGAAGACTGCTCTCTTCCTGGTAGGAGATGAAAAGGTAGAAGACAAAATGTATTTCATCATATAAACTGACTAATGGGATACCAGTTGTATATCCTTACTAGTAGAGACCATGAATCTCTCAACGGGCTACTGAATAGTTCAACTCATCACAGAATCAAAAGTCCAATATGTATTACCTATAGATTAATAATAATAATAATAATGTGCAATATAATTAATATTAACATATAAATATAATTTATTAATTAATGTTAATCCATAATAATAATAATAAAATAGAGAATAATTATATAAATAAATATATAAATATAACATTTTAGGCATATTGGAACAAGCGGCCTAAGCCCTCTTTCTAGCGCCAAATGTTCCTACCGTGAGTCCGCTGTCATTGTTAGGATCACCGCATCTGGCGCCTCGATAGGTTAAGTAGGGAGAGTGTTTATAAACTGCCCTTAACCTAAAAAGTGTAAGTACAAGAACATAAAAAGTTTGTGTTAAATTATAGAAACGAAAAGATAAAATAAGTGAATCTACTGTGGACTAAAAACTTATTTTAAAAAACAAATTAATACTAATTTTTTACCAAATTATCTTTGTAAATTTTTACTGTTTTTTCTTCTTTGATATCAAACACAATGCTAAAATTATATATTTTATAATATTTTTTCGTGAAATCAAGATAGACTAATTTTTTACTCTCATTAAAAAAACTTGTGCACGCGCCACTAATGCCGAGTTTATTGAATAATAAATATTATTACAAAAATAAAATAATTTATAGTGATACATAAAAAGGGACACAATTTTTTTGATTGATGAGACTAATAATAGAGGAGTTGAGAAAGCTAATTATGCGAAAACACTTGTTAATAAGAAGTTAAGAATCTTGAATTAGGGTCAGAGAGGGGTTAAAGCAAAGCTGTAGGAACTAACTAGGAATAAGAAAGAAACAGCTTGCGGTGTGCGCTGGTGTGTCATGTCAGCGCCCTAATATTTCATCCTCAAAGCCCCTCAAACCAAACTAACTCCTATTCATTCGCATGCACCCAAACCCAACCCCCGCACGTTGGCCCCTTCCATGACCGTTTCATCCCCGGCCATGGAGGGGCACGCCCAACTCACCGCCGCCGCACCCCCACCGCCCTCTCATACCGGCCGCCGCTCCCACGACACCTACATCGTCCAATTCCCCAAGGACCAGGTGTACCGCGTGCCGCCGCGCGAGAACGCCGTCATCGTGGAAAAGCACCGCAACCCCAGCGCCGCCAACAAAAAGCGCGGTAGTTGCTGCTTCTGCAGCCGCCGCCTCCTGATCACCGTCGCTCTCATCGTCGTGGCCGTTGTGGCCATCGTCGGCATGACGTTGGCCACGTTGTACTTCATCTTAAACCCCAGGGGCCCCACGTTTAAAGTCTCCCACGTGGCGCTCAAGGAAAATAATGCGAGCACGCGGCTAAGGTACGAGGTTTTACTGACGGCCAAGAACCATAATGAGTGGTTGGCGGTTGATTATGAGTATGGGGATGTTTCGTTGTTCTTCGGGGGGGATCAGGTTGCTACGGGGAAGTTTCCGGTGTTGGGCCAGCACAGGGAGGAGTCCAGTCAGGTTAAGGTTCAGCTATTTGGATCCATTTGGGCGTGGCCCAACCATGCCAGGGCTGTCGATTTGGAATTGGAGATGCAACTTGGGCTCAGGGTCGTGGCTGCGGGACTCGAAACTTGGGTTATGAGGTCCAATGTGGAGTGTTGGTTTAAGATCAGCGCTCCCCGGAATGAGACGCGACTCTTGTCTCAATATTGCCATACCAAATTCAACCTTTATTAATCAATATTAGGATGGGATGGGATATGGATTTTACGCTTCTATAGTACCATTGATTGCATGATTAAAGAAAACATGTCAATCACTTCGATTAAACCATTTCATCGCTCTTCTCCTGTCTTTTTTTCTCAGCTTTGCTGGGTCTTTTAATTATTGCATACCTAATTTCCTCCTGCTTTTTTTTTTCCTTATCAACAATTTTTTCAAGCTGTTTCTTAATTATTTTTAGTATTATTTTTCAATTAAAACCATTTTTACCTTAATAATTCGCATGATAAATATCTACATTAGATTTAATATAGTTTCCTGTATTAAAACTTCAGTTTTGATTAAAAAACAAAACTAAAAATATCTAAACAAATTGCATTTAAGTTTTTTCCTTTTTATTGAGTTTTTTTTTTAATATTTAACCTAAGTCTTAAATGCTCCAGTTTTAGGGTTCTGTATTTCTTCGTTTTAACTTTTAAACATAGAACTGGAAACTAAACCGTGTTCTAACGAATAAGAAAAAAAAGGCAAAGTGATGCTAAATGAAGAATGGACGATGTCAAGATTACTTGTTCCTTAATGCAAGAGTGTTTCACTGGAATTTGAGTCAAAAATTAAAATACATAAATAAAATGTAATTATATGATAAGTGTGTCTTTGTGTAAGTGTGTATAGACACTTGATAAACAAAACAAAAAATGTTAAGCGATGGAATTTTCATTGTTATACAATATTTATTTAGAAATCAATCGAATGAATGTGTCTTTGTGCATGACAGCATGAGTGTTTAGCTATAGCCACTACAAAAATTCAAAACAAAAAAAAAATGTCGAGAGGTTTAAATGGGATTGGACTAGCCCTTGTTACTCCAGCAATTCAGGCATTGGTTGCTGACTCAACCGTTGATAGCAACCGTGGTGTGGCTTTTGGGTGGCTGCAAGTAACTGGAAACTTTGGAAACATCATGGGTGGTTTAATTTTCTCTACTTATGGCTCCAACTTCATTTGCGGGTATACCTGGGTGGAGAATAGCTTTTCATGTGGTTGCATTGATTAGTGTTTTAGTGGGTGTATTGGTACGCCTCTTTGCTAATGATCCACACTTTCCAAAGAGCGATGGCAGAGCAACATATCAACGTCCAAACAAGTCCTTCTATTGTGAAGTGAAAGATCTAATGAAAGAAGCAAAGTCAGTGATGGGAATTCCATCGTTTCAGATAATTGTGGGTCAGGGAGTGTTTGGAACATTTCCGGGGTCAAGCTTCTCATTTGCAACCCTCCCACGTGACAAGTGCATTGGTTGGTTGCTACTTCATTTGGGGGTCTATTTGGAGGAAGGATGGGGGATGTTTTATCCCAACGCTTACCCAACACTGGAAGAATATATTGTTGTCACAAATAAGCTCCACTTCAGTCATTCCTCAAGCTGCAATTTTGCTGTTGGGATATCCTTATGATCCACCCACGGCCTTCATGCACTCTGGTTTTCTTTATCTTGGGATTAAGCAGATCCTGGAATGCTCCAGCCACTAACAAGTATGTATCCAAGACTCTGCGTACTGGTTTACTTTCTTTCTATTTAAAATTCGTTAGATTTATTGGATTTGAAAAACAACATAAAACGCATTGAATACGTTGAATTAAGTGCTCACCACAAATAATCAAAAAATCAAAAGCTGTCTTACATAGCAAGGTTCAACTAATTTCATCATAGCTTCTTATACTTCAAACATTAAAGCTTATATATGGATTGCATATCAAATAAACGAATCGTAAGTGAGAGATGCTGGCTAAATGAAAGCAATTAAGAGATTAGATTATTATACAATGATAGGTTGCTTTATATTATGTTTCGGCCCTACATGTCCTGTGTACAATGTGTTGTAAGCTTGTGGCACAGTTTTAGAAGCAAGCATATGATGTTTGGTTATGAGTATTGTGGCATGTTCAAATCATAAATGCCAATCATTGTATAAATCCCCATGTAAAGGTGTTTTCCGAGCACCTAGACCCCACATAATGCACCATCAGAAAATGCATTGTACAATGTGTCCACAAGCACCCAAACATCATTCTTTGAGTCACTTTTAATGGCTTTCCATTAATCAAGTGTTAAGTAGAAACATTAAATTTTCAGTTCTCAATTTCTGTTAATGGAGGTGGTGAATAATATCACATGAAAGTTGCACTCCATCGGATATATTAGAAAATATGATATCAACATCCTTAATGCATGGATTCTCCATTCATATTTATATATATATGTCAGACAGCTTAGTACACAATATGCAATTGAAAAACTTAATTCTTCCAAACGTTATAGTGTGTGTCTCTCAACCCCATGTTAGTTAACACATCCAGATAAAAGCAGCAATTATTAGCAGTACTTAATTAATCATCTTGCTATAATGGTTCAGAAACCAGTGACATGTGCACCTCATTGTTTAGTTTGCTTAGGAATTTAACAGTGTGAACAGTCCAATATTTGAGAAATAGTCCCTGAGAAGTCCCGAACGACCATATATGCTTTGGATCGATCTTTTGAGAGTATACCGTCGTCTTTTGCTCCACCTGTTGGAGTATTGGCTCAGCATGTCTATGGTTAAAAACCAACCTTATCAGATTCTGTTGAGATAGAACCTAATATATAGGGAAAATGCTGCGTCACTGGCCAAGGCACTTTATACTGCAATTAGTATTCCTGCGGTACTCAGCTTTTCTATCTACTCATTTCTTTATTGCACCACGTACTCAAGGGACAGGGAGCGTGCGAAAATGGTTGCATTCGTGGAATCAGAAATGCAACGGCTAGAGGAAGAATGCGAAATTCATGTTTGACATTGATTATCCGAGGGAACAGGATGATGATAATGATGAGAAAGTTTTGCTGTCATAAGCTTGCTTTTTTGAAAATTCAATTAACTTTATGAATATTTTTACGAAATTCATTTCTTTCACTATTTATATCCCATACTCATTTAGATACTGTGTGAAGTATTCAAATCTATAAAAAAAAATCATGAAAATCCAAGAGACCTAGAAATATTGTAAATGATCTCCAGAAAGCAGCAAAATTGATGTTATTCCTATTCGTAAAGAGCAGGATGTTATTCCTATTTTATTTTTTTTTACAAAATTTTAGAATTTTAATTATAAATTTATTATGTTTTATGAATTTTTATACATTTAATGTTTAAAATAATGTGTATTTCTGTATACCAGATTGTCAACAATTAAATTAATTTCATCTTCTTTATCATCGAATCTATAAATATATTTAGAATGGACAATTTCATTTTTGAGATTTTCTCCTTTTTCTTTAGTAGATATTTGACTATATATTTGTGGGATCTATTATGATGTCATTATTGTTCTAACTTCCTGTGTCAATTAACAATACAACAAGAAATTAGTTTCCATAATTATGTACGTAAGCTTTGATACATAACGTTGTGTATTTCAATTGAGATATACAATGAAATTAGTGTGCGTAATGCTGAGAAAGATCATACAAGAGCATATGCAAATAATTATTTTATATAATAAGATTGAACTTAAAAAAATAGAAATCGTAAACAATTATTACTTTTCTAGAATAAATAGATTTACATTAATAATGTGAAAACCTTTGTGTTTGTTAACTAAACATAAATCCTTATATATAATAACGTACTTTTAAAATAACTATTCTAAAAATTATACCTATCATGTTTTCTGATTGATTAATATATTTTTTTTTTATATTACTAGCGATACATAGAAATGAAGTTAAATTTTATAATATGTATTTACATTAGTACATTCAAAATTTCTTTGAAATATTACTGAAAAACATTTATTATTTTGTTGCTGTCTTGATTAAATCATGCAAATTGTTGTTTAATTTTTTTTATACATAATTTTTTTTTAATGTTTGAATATCCTATTTATATGCACTAAGTTTAATAATGTTGAGTGTGAGAAGTGTATTAAAAAAAATTCAAGTATTATCAATCTTAAATTAGAAGCGAGAAAAATCCAATCTATTTACATGCCTAACCATGTTTCTTACTGATTTGGATGGATTCAAGTTTTAATATTAAGCCTTATATAATCTTTAGTACAAGTTTGAGTTATGTTTTGAGTCATCCCAATTCATCTTTCATTTTTTTACAATGTATAAATTTCTAGAATAATTGTGTATTAATAATGGACCGTCTCGATCAGAAAAAAAATGTAAAAAAATTATAAATATTAAAAAAAATTATCAGGTTTTATATTTAAAAATTTAAAGAATATAAATAAATATTTAAATAAAAATTTAATATTTAATCTGATAAATATTTTTTAAATAAATGATAAGACTTTTACAATTAAAATAATAATAAGTTTGCTATGACGTATAGCAACTTGATATCGTTATGAACTATAGCACAACACAATGTGACTGCACGTGGCCCTAGTTAGAATGTGTTATGTGTTATTATTATTATTATTATTATTATTATTATTATTATTATTATTATTATTATTATTATTTTTAAAAAAAGTGTAGTTATGGATTATAGCAATCCAAAATAAAAAATAAAAAAAAGAATATTTTATCAATGTGTAATGTTGTTTTAACATGTTGCTATAGTCAATAGGAACACCCATGAAGCTGTTAACGACTTTAATGATTTCAAGATAACTAAAATGGTCCCATTTTAGTTATCCCTCACCCGACTGTGACCTTGGCCGACTTTCCCTCTCAGAGCCAGATACCGATCGACTCCCACCCATAAAGGCTTACTCGGTCATTATCTGATTGGACACTCAGTAAATGGCGAGGTCCCAGCTTCACTCACCAAGTATTTTCTAGATTGTAACCACTAAAGAGATCCCCATATTCACGAGGCCCATAAGGCTTCTCCATATTCACGGGGCCCATAAGGCCCGTGAACAAGAAACTATAAAATCCAAAACCCTAGAGTTAAGAAGACAGATTACACTTTTGAATGCTCTGACTCTAAGGTATGATCTAGGAAAAAATCCTAGTCCACCCCTTGGCCGGAACAAATAATATAAATTTTTTAATAGATAATACTTTGTATAACATTATTTATTTTAAAATATTTATTTAACTATACATATATTAATATTGATATATGAGTTAAAGTATCGAGTTGATCATGTCATGTCCCATATATTCTGGATCTTGATTGGGTCGAATTCGAGTTTATATAAATATTTCAATCAACTTTTCGGATTGTATAAAGACAAGGATAAATCTCCCATAATTTGTTAATTGGTCACCTCTATCTTAAATCATTAAAAGTGACATCTATCATTTATTCACTTATCAATTTCAATAATGATATACATGAAAAATTGTGTTAAGAAAAAATTATATCCTACACTCACATTAACTAAAAATAAAATAAATAAATAATATACAAGTGAAAAATAATTCTTATAAAATTAAATTAAATCCAAACTCCCATTTTAAAATAGTACTTAGGTATGTTAGATTAACTTAAAGGGGCACTCTACAGAATACCATCAACTTGTTATTTTTAATGTGCGCGTACCATGAACTTATTAGTTCTTTTTTAGTCGTATAGCTCCTACTTGTTCTTTCGTTACCATTTAAAATAGATAGCAGCACATGGGGCAGAAGAAGACAAGTGCCAGCAAATATAATAGTAGCATATTTTGTGACTTTCGAACTCTACGTAGGTTAACTTAAATCCTTGGTGTTAACCCACATCCAATTTATGGTGATTAATATATTGGAAAAAAAAAAAGCAACAGGTAAACTAACCAAAGTCAAGTATAAACCTAACCTGATGGAATTAATTACGTTGAAGGCAAAGGGTGTGCGTTGCCCCCATCGTGGTATTCATGTGACTATGTGAGCATGGGTCCCTGTGACCTGTGAGTAATTGGTTGAACGTTGAAGAATGAAAATGAAGATGAAAGCGGAGACAGTGACGTTAGTGCTGGTGAATCTGGCGAGTATTATGCAGAGAGCGGATGAGTCGTTGCTGCCAGGAGTGTATAAAGAGGTTGGCGCTGCTCTCAACGCTGACCCCACTGCGTTGGGTTCGTTGACTCTCGTCCGATCACTTGTTCAGTCTTTGTGTTACCCTCTCGCCGCTTACCTCGCCACGCGTCACAATCGTGCACATGTCATAGCTCTCGGTGCTTTTCTTTGGGCTGCTGCTACATTCCTCGTTGCCATCTCCTCCACCTTCTTCCAGGTTCCAACCTCTTTCCCTTCTTTTGCTTTTCTTATTCATAAATCATATCAAACGCCTTCTGTCACCTCTTGCTTCCGAGTTGGAACGTACCACAAATCTATACGCCTTTTGACCGCTTCAAATTTTCAGTCGCCAACACGATTCAATGTGTCTTGAAAAAACAAAAAAAAAAACTCACATCACTTTTATCCTTTTAATAAACTGTTAATATGATTCATCATGTATTTTCTTCTCCCGAATAGTTTTAGAGTAATGAAATTACATCAATAATTCTTAAAGTATTAAAATTTCATCTATGTTAATATATTTTACTAATATTGATAAATTAATTTAAAATTTCTTTCAATATTTTATGAATTATGTAACATTATTTGATTTGATTTCTAACGTTTCAAATATATATATATATATATATTATCTGTATATTGTTTATAATCATAATATTTTTAGGATAAAAATGTTCTTAACCGTGAAATTAATCTATAATGTAGTATTATTTCAGTTTGTGAGTAAAGGAAGGTCACAGGTGTTTTCCTCCTTTTCTTAAAAAAGAAAACAATTTTGGACATTAAACGTAAGATAAGTTACTATTAATCAACTTAATTTTATTGTTTCTTTAAGTTTTTTTTTAATTAGTACTTAGTGAAGAATGGTTTTTTTGAAATATATTTGAGAAAATACATGCCAAAATATTTTTTTTTTAAAAAAGTAACCAATCAATATCTTTATATCTCTTCCTACAAAAATACATGTATCAAACATTTACTATAAATTTGGCTTTCTTAACTCTTATCATATTTAAGTATATTTTTACACCGACAAAAAAATTAGATAAAAAACATATAATACAAATGAATTTTGTTGACAAATAACACTTTATTTGAAAAGATTATTAATATAATAATTAATTTGTGTTGAAAAATCAATCTAAAATTTTCACTCATAAATGAAAAATAATAAATGAAGAATAATGAATGAAAGATCATGTCATCCATTCTCCTATAAATAGATAAACTTGTGATCGAGTAATTACCACTTAGAAAATAGAAGATCACCACCAAGAAGGGGTCACCCATGGTTGATTCCGTCTAATTCATTTAAGAATTCTTTAAGTGTGAGAGAAATAGAGAGAAAATTATTGTATTTCTCTTTAAGAAAAAGATAGAGTTGTTTTCACTATACTTATTGAAAATTGATAGGTAGTCATTCGAGAGAAGTGAGATTCTTTGAGTAATCCTCCCGAGAAAAAAGAAAGATCTTTTATTGAATTAAAGGGGGTCACTACCTAGAAGGAGTCACTAGTGGTTAATTCCGTTCAATTCATTTATGAATCCTCTTTAAGTGAAAGAGAGAAGTAGAGTGAGAAAATTATTATATTCCTCTTTGAAGAAAAAAAAAAGTGAGTTGTTTCCACCACACTTTGTGAAAATTGAAAGATAGTCATCCAAAAAGGATGAGATTCTTTGAATAATCTTTTTGAGAAAGAGAGAATATCTTTTATTGAACTAAGTCTCATAATTTTTTCTTACTCACATTTATAAGGTTTTTCATGTAAAAATACTAATGTTATTCTTTTACTTCTTATTTTTATTTTTGCTTCTACATAATGTCTATTATACATTTATAGATGTGGAAGTATATTCGGTTATTCCCAACAATTTGATTATACTTTGAATCTTAGTTATGTATTTTTAAAAATCTGTTCAACTTGAATTTGATTTTTTATGTTTAATTTTTGAAATAGATAGTAGTTACATTTGCCATACTTGGTAATTTATCTTTTTAAAAGTAACCAATTTAGATCTTCAATTTCAAGAATACTAATTGCTACAAAATGAAATTGTAGAGAATACTAATGGGTTAAAATAGACACTTGCGAAATTCGTGCAAAGGAAGGTTTGCTAAGAAATAACAGTCTTGTTTTTATAATTAATTAACCAGTTTATTTGTTTAACTATGAGACTTTTGGCATTTAGAAGTTACCTAATGATTCATCCAAGTTGTATAGACTCATTTAGAAGTGTGAGGTTCTTTTGTCCCTAACATGATATTTTACATAAAAGAAATTAACCTCCTTCGTCTAGAAAAAAGTTTCTCCTCTCATGTCATTCCATTTGAGACATAAAGTTCTATCATTAACTTTCAGGATTGACCATAATCATGATCATACGACTAATTAAGATAAATATTATTGGTTTTCTGAGTAAGAATACTCAAGTCTCTGTAATATAGTTAAAAGGTTGTCGATCCTCAGGGACTTGTGAAGTAAGCTTTGATTTCTATTATATTAATAGGTACTTGTAAATTTAAAACTTGAGTAATAACAAATGTTCAAAATTTGATGTAAATGGTAGATCAAACTTAAGTAACCAAAAGTCAAATTAGATTTAAGAAAAATAGACATGAGAAACAGTTAGGATTAGATTTCGTCAATCTCTCTCCTATGCATTCCTATTGATTCTTTTAAATGATTCCATTACTCATGGTCATTGAGTTCTCTATATTCATTCAAACCCAATTCCCTAGGATAAGAAATTCTAAGATATTTAACTCAATGAATGATTCTTCACTTCATTTAGTTAAATATCTTGCATTAAGAGTCAGAACTTCTTACAACTATTAATTCCAAAATCATTCCTGACCTTTGAAACTAATAGGCGATTCGTTCCAAGTCTAGATTCAGAAAATATTTTCCAACCAAATTCTAAATCCAAAATCAAAGATAAATGATCATTTCATCAAAGCATTAAGAACAGAAACAAATCACTGACATTGAGTAATAGATGAGATATATATATGAATCAAAGAGGAATACAAAGGAGTTCGATGATTACATCAATCCCAACCCTAAAGCTTTAGCTCTCCATGGTACAAGAAATCACAAAACAACAAGAAGAAAGGTAGAAGAAAGAGATCCTCTGAAGAATCGCGTCCCCACGAGCTCCAAAATGCTTTGTTTCCTTTTTTCTCTCTGTTCTTCTCTTCGTGCAACTTGTGATGCTATTTTTCTCTCTCCTCTGCCTTTTTATAAGTGCTAGAATTAAAATAGAGTAGGCAGGAAAGAGAAGAATCTGTTCAACGCCTTAAAACGACTGAACGGTTTGAAGAATTCTTCAACATGAAATAATCTGAAGGGCTGAGTCCCTCAAATCCGTTGAGCGCCTGAGATGATTCTTCACTATTAAGCAAGCACAAGGGGCTAGGCGCTTCAGATCCGCTGAGTGCCTAGGAGGCAGAGAGCACTCCTTCCAGGGCCAAAACCGCTCAGCGCCTTGGAGTAGCTGAGTGCCTCCAGTTTGGTGCACTTTTAAAGGGCTTTCTGGCTTGAAAGCGCTCAGCCCTTTTGAAGGGCTGAGCCGTTTGCCTCCAGACTTCAAAACCTATAAAATGAATACAAAATCTGGTCAGAAAAGTCATCACTCCATGTAACAACATAAATTAAAAGTCCCTCTTTAATTCTAAGCATATATTAACCAAAATTATATCAATATGTACAAAAATTGTGCTAGATAAGTGTCTAAAATTCAGATTTCATCGGACTAGTTAAACACTTATCAAATATAACATAAAGATCATTTGCTTAAAATTAAAAATTACAATTTTGTATGAATTATTACTCCTACGTGTTTTCATGGCCCATGTTTTCCCTGAATCAATGTACATGTTTCCTTACTCCTTCCGTCCTTCGTGTTGCATAATATGGATTATCAGGTAGCAATTTCAAGAGGTTTAAATGGGATAGGACTCGCCATTGTTATTCCAGCAATTCAGTCCCTGGTTGCTGACTCAACTGTTGATAACAACCGTGGTGTGGCTTTTGGTTGGCTGCAACTAACAGGAAACCTTGGAAGCATCGTCGGTGGTCTCTTCTCTGTACTTATAGCCTCAACCTCGGTTGCAGGTATACCTGGTTGGAGAATAGCTTTCCATCTTGTTGCATTGATCAGTGTTATAGTGGGTCTATTGGTACGCCTCTTCGCTAATGATCCACACTATTCAAAGAAACCAACATCTCAAGCTCCAAACAAGTCCTTTTATTCTGAAATGAAAGAATTACTGAAAGAAGCAAAGTCAGTTATTGGAATCCCAACGTTTCAGATAATTGTGGCTCAGGGAGTGTTTGGATCATTCCCCTGGTCAGGCTTGTCATTTGCCACGCTTTGGTTGGAACTAATAGGCTTCTCCCACGTCACAACAGCAACTCTTTGGACCCTATTTATAGTTGCTGCTTCATTTGGGTCTCTTTTTGGAGGGTGGATGGGAGATTTTTTATCACAAAGGTTACCCAACTCTGGGAGAATAATATTGTCACAAATTAGCGCTGGTTCAGCTATTCCTTTAGCAGCAATTTTGCTGTTGGGGTTGCCTGATGATTCATCCACTGCCTTCGTGCATGGTCTTGTTTTAGTCATTATGGGATTCACCACAGCTTGGAATGCTCCAGCAACTAACAAGTACGTATCCATAACTTTAATAGTTTTTGTTCTCTAGAGTCAAAGTTACAAGATTTACTGTCATACAAAGTGAGATGGTTGTTAGATAACTTTATTATTTGAGTATGTAGTCAGAGGTTCGATTTTGATCATCATATTTGTGTGAATAAAAAAATATCTGCTACAAAATACCAGACTCTTAAAGGGATTAGTTTTTAGCTTCCGGTCGAAATACTTTGGGTTTGTATTAGTAGATGGCCTCTTAATACCAAATCATGGAAGTAGACTAGTCAGTGTTTTCAAACACCTGCATACCCCACACAGTCGTAATACCAAGATAATGCGTCATTCAATCTTTCTGCAAGCACCCAATGGGATGAGTCAAAACCCATTTTGAATATTTTCAGCTCCTACTCCTAGTGAAGGCAGTGGTGAATCTCTTGACCCCATGAGTGCATAATGGTTGTAATCATTCTGATCTAGGCGCTAGCAGCATTTGTCGGAATGAAACAATCACAGTCATGAATTAATTATCCATCTACCTAATTGTTACAAAACAAGTGAATAGTGATGAATATTGCGTAGTCTTTAAGAAAAATGTGTTAAAGACTCTAATTCAAATCTTACAAAAACTCGTAAGATAAAAATTATTTTTTTTATATATATTATTATGATCTTATTTTTAGTCAATCGAAATCTTCTAAATATAATAAAAGTATGAAAAGAAGATTGTTGGAGTCTATTTAGATGCATTTTACAGCTAACAATATTGAACATCGATGATTTGCACCTTGTTCAGTTTTCGTGAAATTTAACAGTGTGAACAGTCCAATATTTGCAGAAATAGTCCCGGAGAAGTCCCGAACAGCAATATATGCTTTGGATTGTTCTTTTGAGTCTATCTTGGCATCCTTTGCTCCACCTATTGTTGGAGTTTTGGCTCAGCGTGTTTATGGTTATAGACCGATCCCAAGTGGATCCTCAGATTCCGTGGAAATTGAAACAGATAGGGAAAATGCTGCATCACTTGCCAAGGCACTTTATACTGCAATTATAATACCGATGACAATATGTGTCTCCGTGTATTCATTGCTTTACTGCACATACCCAAGGGACAGGGAACGAGCTAGAATGGTTGCATTAGTGGAAGATGGCACAAAAGAAGAACATTGCGAAATTCACGTTTTGGAATCAAATGTGCTGAATGGTAAGGAAAGTAGCACGTTTGACATTGAATATCCAAGGGAAGAGAGTGTCGACGTGGATGATGATGATAAGAAAGTTTTGTTGCCCCAATAGTTCACTTTTGTAAGGAAATGGTGGTTCATTTGATCAAATGTTACAATTTTTTTTTTTTGACAGTTGTTATAATGTTTATTGTTAGATAGCTTTTTTGTTCCAACATAATTAAACAAACAAGGGGGAAGTTTGTGTTGATATCATGCTCACTACTTATCAATTTTTGACAAATGGATCATATTCAATCATTCTTGATGTCTCAAAAGTCAAAATCCCCTAGCGTGGTGATTTCACTTTATCTCTTCCACGTTAAAACTTTACACTGATCAATATTTCACTTTACGTTAGTTAAAGTTGATGGTTTTTTTTTTTTTTTTTGCGTGTGTGAAATGTAACACTAATTTCTGAAGTTTACAAATCTATTGGGTCCGATAATCAGCCTGTGATGGGTTGGGCCACCACTTGCTTATCCACTTCTGAGACTTTGCATAACTGTCTAACAGAGGTCTAAACGTGATCTGAAAATGATTTGCTTTGTCCCTCTAAGATCAATCCACTTTCCTTTCTTCCCTGGCTTTATAATTTCTTCTCATGAACACTTGTGTAAAAAAATGAGTGTTCCACATTCTCGGTACATATTTTATTATTAGTTAAATTACTAAATATGGCTAACATTTCTCTTCAACAAAGCAAGCAATTCTCATAATTTCTAAATAAAATAACTAAGCTTTAATTTTGATCATTGTAAAAATATATTTAATAGTTTTCTCTTATAAAATTTAAAATTATTACTTTGTATATGTGAAATATATAAATTTTGATTTTGGATCCTGTAAAACATTTTTATTTAATTTTATCTTTTTAAAAATCTAAAATCACTATTTTTATGTCTTTAACATTCATTTTAAAATAGATAAATAATATTTATTTTATAAATTTATAAATATATATATATATATATATATTACATGCTAACATAGTATTATAAACAATTATGAGTGTCATTTGAAATCATTATTTAACTTCTTAATAAATATATAAGTAGTTAATGAGAACTAGTTAATAGTAAAAGTTAAAAATAATAATCCTAAACTTTAAAAAGATGAAAGTTAAAAAAAATAAAAATTAAAACTTCCTCAAAAAAATGCAAAGAATATGAAAAAGATGACACGCAAATTTTTTTTGGTTGAATTGTGCTAATATATTGACACGTGAAAGATGAAGATCGCTAGGTGGAGATTATTAAGTTGAGATATGTTGATAGGTTGACATGTTGACGAGGACTTTAGGTGAATATATAGTATAGATTGTTAAAGAAACTTATCATTGTTTTATGACAAAATCTCTGGTAAATAATATATAAACTAGTCCCTCCAATCCAATTATAAACATCAATTAATTTAATTTCTAAAATTACGAAGTTGTAAATATTATTATTTAACATTACTAAATTAGAAAATAATTGCTAAAATAATAAAAATTTAAAATAATATTTTTATAGTTTGAAGAATTAAATTGACCTTTAAGTGTCTGTCAATTCTATATATTTGTCATCTTTCATAGTGGTAACCTTTTGGGTAAGGAAGTTACTGAAATTAATGAGAATTGAGGTATGGTGTATGCAAATGAGGCAGCAATCAGCATGGAGCAAATGAAGCAGCAATAGCTGGGGGTCCGGCATTTGCGCGTAGGTGGTGAAATTCGATCTACAGTCTCATGCGCGCCATGTGATCTGATAGGTCTTCGTCTCCTACTACTTTGGCAGCACACACTTCCACTCTAACTTCATTTTTCTCTTTTTCGTAAATTCACACTTGAATTTTCCACTCCACTTACACCCACCCAACAGTGCAAACTAGAAAGTATAAAATCCTCCCCTTAGTCCTCTCCTCCTTTCCTTTGTCGTCCCAAATCAAATGTATATTAAATTCGCATGTGACTCTTCCATGTATTAATTACTATATAGCTAGATCTTAGGGAGCCTCTATTCGTAGATCTTGAAGGAAATTCCAGGATACGTTGTTGCCTTCGCCAATGGCTCACCCCGTCAATTTCACTCACACAAAGACAAAGGTACTACTCCTCTCTCTTGTGTTTTTCCTTTCTCTTTCTGCATGCTTCAGTGCCTTCTCCGATCCTCAATCTAGCTCTAGCACTAGGAGAATGTTAGGTGCCCGAAAAGAAGACCAAGAAAAGCCTTTGAAAAAGAAAACCGCCGCCCAGTCCACCAAGCTAATCAACCCCACCACCCCCCTTTCGTCAAAGAACCAAACCAAAACCATCAAATCCAATAACATTTCCTCCAAAAACCAAACCAAAACCATCAAAACTAACCTCTCCTCCAAAACCCAAACCAAAATCACCAAAACCACCCTTTCCTCAAAAAACCAAACCAAGCCACTCAAGCCTAGCTCCAATTCACCCTCCAAAGCCAAAACCACTCCCACCGACACTAGCCTCAAAAAGCTCAACAATTCCACCACCCAAAAAATAAAGAAACTCAACGTCACATCCAAACCAAACCCCGTTCCCACTTCAAGCAAGAAATCATTGGATCTCGCGAAAGCAAGTAACAAAACAACAAAAGCCACCGCCACCAAGGTAGACACAAACAAGAAACAAAAGACTCCCCCGAAGAAACCCACGAAACAAGCACCACCGAGTTGGTTTATCGACGAGGACGAGGAAGATGGTTTGGTTTCACTTTCTGAGTTCACAGATCTACCCAACAAGTTTCACCGAACACTCATCCCCGACCTGGAACGAATCTCAACCACTTCCAAAGCCTACATCACCAAAGCCAATAATGAAATGACAAAAGGCTTCAAACCCTACGTAGGCAAAAAATATGCACCCACCGTGGCCACCATTATTTCCTGCGCCTTCATATTCATCCCTTTGATCCTAGTCTCTCTCCTTTGCAACACAATCAAAGCCTATTTCTCCCTCCAGAAAATTTTAATCTTCATCCAAGTCTACCTCTCTATCTACTTCACCATCCTCTGCGTCACGTCCTTGTTCACTGGCCTCGAACCGCTCAAGTTTCTATACTCTACTTCGCGGTCCACCTACATGTGCCTGCAGGTGCTTCAGACTCTCGCTTACGTCTTCTACTTGCTGCTCCTCTTGATGTACCTCGTCCTCGTCTTCTCCACCGACTGTGGGCTGGGCTCGAGGCTGTTGGGCCTCGCTCAGATCTTCGTGGGCTTCGCCGTTGGGCTGCATTACTACGTCACAGTGTTTCACAGGGTGGTGCTGCAGCAACCTCCCAAGACGAATTGGAAGATCCACGGGATTTACGCCACGTGTTTTCTCCTCATTTGTGTGCTTGCTAGAGTTGATAGAAGGAAAAAGACTTACGTGGAAGATGGTGGAGGAGAAGGCAAGCGAAATTGAGCTACCTATACTATAATTATGTATTTATTTTTCTTATTCTTATCATTTTATTTTTTATTTTATTCCATTTAATGATTAGTTATCCAAAAGTAACAGAACAAGCTTGTTCTATAAATAAGACCACATGATGACGACAACATTTTTCATGTCTCCATTTGGATGAAAACAGCACTAGTCTGCTCTTCTTACTCTCTTATTTCACCGTGGAAATAGAATCTGCAAACTTTACTTATTTGAATTTCTTCCTGTATAAAATTTATTTCAGAAATACCTCCCAAAGAACTTTTTTTTTTTTGTAACAATTCTTATGGGTTCTTAAGTCTAATACATTCACTCGAAATGTCTATGTAACTTGTTTTTAGAGAGGATTTATATGCCTTCAAAATTATTTTTTCATTTGATTTGTCGAAAGCACTCTTGTGGTAATCTTAAGTAAATTTTTCTTATTTAGATTGTTCAAGTAACTTGCTCTAAGAAAATTAGTTTGTTTAGAGTCGTTTTGAACGAATTTCTCTTAATTGAAGTAAGTATTTTATATGGTTTATTCTCTTTAAAATTTATAATTTCTAAATTATTTTATTTTTGTGTTATATTTCAAAAAAAAATATTAAGAATACTTAATATTTAAATAATTAAATCTTAAATTGAAATTAATTATTAACTAAGGGTTTTGTGGTTAAAAAAAAAAACAAGAGTTAGAAACACTATATAACAATAATTGTTTAAATTAAGTAAGAATTACATACGTATTTAACAATTATCATGGAAGATGGTTTGCAAAACGTATTTGACAAGTCGATTACAGTCAAAAAATTTGTTCAATTCACTCAATCAATAAGAGATCAGTATAATACATAATATAATTAAAATATATCAACAATTTAGTATATATATATATATATATATATTCCTATATTTATTTTAAATTTATATAAGACTAATATAGATATATTAAAATTGGTTCTCTTGCTCATTTAGTGTACCATCAAACAATCATAGGACAACCAACATTCAAAAAGTGGAAACAATCTTTATTATTTGAAGCGTCATGAAAAAAATTCATTTTTGAACAACAACTGTTAGATTATCTTTAATATATTTTTCATATCACATAAGAGATAGCAGTAATGTTACTTGTTAGTAACATTTTGCATTTAATATATGCAAAATTAATCTAATAAAACTAAATCTAGAAAAGTAAAAAAAAAAAAAAAAATCGAAGAAAGGATAGAGTGTTCGAGTTAGTGAAGGTATTTGTTCCCGTTACGCGTAATTAATCCACCGAAGCAAATAAAAATGAAAAAAGAAAATTGCAAACTATTGCATGAACTCAGGAATAATTTATCATCTTAATAACAGCGATATATAAAATCATTTAATTATTTATAGTTTGACGCAAGGTGCATCGTAGTTATTTGAATTGGGCGCCGACAGTGATTGGCATGTGGGAGGTGGTAATGTAATGTAACCAAGTGGAAATTGGAAAAGTGTGTTGGGTCATTTAGAGCACAACAGCCTCATAATTTGCTGACACTTTTCGTAAAGAAACCCTCCTCCAAGTTGGTGTAAGCTGATTAAATCTAATAATGATATTTGAGCAAATACTTAATTTTGGTTGTTCAAGGCTTTACGTATCATTAATCATTATATAAATATCTTAAGAAGAAGATCTTCTTACTCATTAACATGAAAAGAAAAAAAAAAACAAAAGTGAATATTGTTATTTTTTGTATTTATATTTTTTCATCACATTATTTATAACATATAATTTTCTTCTCTTTGTTTAAAAATAACAAATTTTGTGAATTTTATCTCTTATCTAATAAATCTTACTCTTAATTTCAAAGTTTCAATAAATTTTAACGAATAAAAATAATAATAATAATAATATGTTAATAAGTTTATTATTATTATTTTAAGATATGAATATTTATCTTATATACACTTATGATTTGATTAAAATTAGTCACTCATTTATAAATATTTTATACCAATATTATCGTTATAAAAAAGAGTTTGTTATGAACATTTTTCTTATAATATTTTTTTAGATAATCTTAAATATGTACCCTTAAAAATTTATTATTTTATTTTATTCTTAATATTTTCCAAATTCATTTAGTAAATATTTTTTTTATTTATTTGGACCTTTATTTAGTTCCTGTAATGATTTTTTTTATTTAGAAAAATGAAAAATTATAATATTTAAGTGACTAAATAAAAAAAATGATATTTAAAGAAATTAAGATGAGAGAATAATTACACTTAACAAAAAATTCAATGTAAAATAAACTTCTTTCTTGCAATCCACAGACTGAAATACTGGTCATTTATTTATGTTTCAAAATCAAATAGTCGTAACATTCACTCTTAAGTAACTAATTCATTCGATTTATCTTATGACATCATTGATGTCATATAATATTTAATTATTTTCAATTACTAAAACTTATTTTGGCTGTTTCAACATTCACAACTATTGTTAATATTTTTCTGTAAGTAATCCAATATTGTGGTGGAAGAAAGAACGCAGACACAAAAGAAAGATAATGAGTAGTACCGGTTGGATCAGAAATTAATTCTAAATCGATTTAATAACGTTTAAAATTTGAATTGAATGATAAAATTTAGTCTAAATGATCAAAATCAGCCGAAGCTATTCATTGTTGTTTCTCAAACATGTGGATCAAATTAGATTTATTGTGCAACCAAACATGTTGTTAGTTGAGTCAGATAATTATTGTATATCGAATTAGTAGAATCAGTCAAAATTGATCTGAGATTGAGAAATTGATTTGAACTGATTTAATTTTTTTAATTTAAATTATTTTATAAAAAATTTAATAAAAAAATTACAAATTAGAATAATTTATTTATAATAATTTTTCATAGATATAATTTAATCATTTATTTTTATTTATAAATTTAATATATTTATTTTTTATAGTATATATTATATTAATTAATTAGTTTTTATTCTAGATATAAACACGTTACTATTAATAAGCATTGTTGTATTTTATTAAAATTTTAGCTTAAATATTACGTTATAAATAATTTACACTTTTATATATATATTAAATGTTAAAAATTTAAAATAATATTTTATTTTAATCTTTAATATTATAAAATTGTAATATTATATTTATTTAATTTTAATTTTATAATAATAATAATAATTTTATTAATATCAATTTGATCATAATTGAATTATTAAAATTTTAATTAATATTTAAATTTAATGATTAATGTAATTTTTAAAATATTAATATTTTATGATAGGTATGATAGCGGGAAATACCACAAAGGGCCAAGAGGAAGATCGTTAACCCAGCCTGGTTGAAAGACAGTTTGTGATGGGCTTATCATGACTTATTGTGTCGTTCCAGCCCTATGAGGCAGATTTTCTGCTTTCAATAATTGTGTATCGGGTCTTTTAGCTTAGAAAAAGGTCCATAATAGTTTGGGGTGGGAAAAAAAATTAAACTGAATTGAACCGATAGTAAACTGAACTGAACTGTATTATAAAAAATTGAACTGTTTGTAAAAAAATTGAATTGAACTGTTTATAAAAAAAAACTGAATTGAACTGAAATGTTGGAAAGTTAACTGTATTGAACTATAAAACTGAATTAAATTATAAAAATTGAACTATTTTTATAAAAGGATAAAAATTAAATGTGTCTAACATGTTATGTCTTAATGGATTAATTCGATAGTCTAATAACTAAAACTTTAGAAAAAAAGTGATAAAAAAATTGTATCAATTTTATCGAACCTAACGGATCAATTGAGCTATGTTGGACTACTTATTTTTAGGCTTAAAATTTACTAAGTTTGTTTGACTTAATTTTATATTTTTTTCTTTCAAAAATTTAAATAAAATGGAAAATAAAGTAAAGTTTGCAAATGTGTCCTATTTTAATATATCAATGAGTCAAAATTGTTCAATTCAAAATATCATAACAGTTCAGTGTAGTTTAAATTGCAGTTCAGTTCAAGTTTTTATAGTACAATTAAGTTCAGTTCAATGACAAAAAAAAATAGTTCAGTTTAGTTCGTCTGAACTAATATTTAATTTAGTTCAGTTCATGATAACTACTTTTAAGTTTAGTATAATTTGTATAAGTTCAGTTCAGTTCAGTTTAATTCAGTTCAGTTTGCCCACCCCTAAGTTTGGCTATAAGTCCTGAAACTTTGTAAGTAAGGGTATAATGATAATTCCAATTTTCAAATTTCCTAGTTTTTTTTTTTTGGTTGTGTTCGCTAGGTTATGCAACTCGTTAACGGTATTTATTTCGGATTTAGTGCTTAGGCTTTAGAATTATTCGTTATTTATTTTACCATTTTGAATAATTGATAAAGTATTAATATTGGTTGATATAAATAATAATAATTTGTGTTTTTTAATACAAATAACAATGATTTATGTTTTTTAGCTAAATATTTTATATTCAAATCTTGATTTTGAACATAAAATAAATTATATTAAAAGAAAAATATTTTTTGACAATAAATACTGTGTACCAATACTATGATTACATTAAAAAAAATATTAAGAAAGTAAGACTTGACATTTTTGAACATCAAGCATGCAATGACAAGTTTTAAAATTTACTGTAGATTTTTATTGGTATGAGAATAAAATTAAGTGTTTAAAATAACAGACAAAGGCTAAACTTTGTCTAAAGTGGGGAAGGGAATAAGGGAGTTTATGATAAACCATTATTATTTATTATCATATTAATTTTATCTTTATAATTTTATGATGGACTTTTTGTACTTAGTTTTTATCCCGTTAACCTTTATCTTTCTCTTCCTTCCACTAATGTTTGGTGTCTCTATATAGACTATATGTTTAATGATGTTTTCATAGATCATTAAAGTCCAATAAGCACATCTCATTTTCTAATTATAGACCTCCTAAAATATTATTTACACCCTTGAAAATAAAAACCACCACTCTATTTGATTAAACAATATAAGATCAAAATTAATAAAATATTTATAAGAAAAAGTATTTTAAAAAAAAGTAAGTTACTAAAAGTGATTTAAAGTTCAATAAAAATTTGAACCTTATTCTTTTAACTCTAATCCACCCCTCTTGACTCCTTTTAGATTTGGCTCATTGACATGAAGTCATTAGTAGTTGTTTAGATGGTATTAAATGTTTGAAAAATA